CCAAAATCACTCTGTAAATTACGCACAAAGTAGCTACAGAATCGCAAACAGGACTATCAAAGTCATTTATGGTCTGTAAGCCAATATTAGTTACAAGCTCACGAACTACACAACATCTCAGTTCGACAACTCGGAATTTACACCGCGGATTCAACGGACATTTTCACAAATTTAGAAACCATGACCTCATCCTAAATAAACAATGCAAGCAACTTCTCAACATTCGCTTCAAAAATTGCTAACACGATCTTTTTTGCCACTAATGGTTACCAATGTTTTCTATACAGATGGTAAAGAATTCGAGAACAAACTACAGATATTACAAAGTCCAGCGATTTGATATACTTTATTGACTATCTTCAGTAACAGCTTTTGTCTCTTTGCTAATAATACGTTCAAGCAGACCAAAGGTGTCCCACAAGGAGTAATGTTAGTTCACTGATTGGCAGAACGCACGATCTTAACCGCCCCTTCTGTCATAGACGGTACTGGGGCTGGGACCTATGCTAACTCTAAAAAGCTTCAAATAAAAGTAGGCTGCTTCATTTCCATATAGAATATATGGATGATTCTGCATGAAAACAACCAAACTGATGATGATGTGGCCCATGATTCGTTCTCAAGTTTATCAACAATCCACCCCCTCTCAGTTTAAAAAAAAACTCATAATAGTGGAAGTCTCTAGCAATTGATATTAGATTTTAACACTTAATATTTACGAACGGTAAACTTAGTACCAAGCTTGCATAAAACAAGTAGATTTTTAGCCTTTCAATGTTAAGGCAAGATTTCCTGTTAGAGACACAAACATCTCCTCTTATTTAACAAATCCTCTGTTATATATACCGACTTTTGAGCACCGGTAGCGAACATCTTTGTTCGTTCTTCCACGTTTGGCGTCAGCAAAATAACGGAATATGGTCAGCTATTCTACTGAAAAATGGCTTACGACGAAGATTTTATTATTAATAGCATTGTTAAGCTTTACAAAAATAAATTCATAAGCTACAAATACTCAATCGCAAATAACTATAGAAAGATAAGTAGACCCGTCACAGGTATTCTCATTTGCAGCGGTGCTCAATACTAATTCTCCTCCTTCATCTATACTTTTATTTGTTTTAATTCTTGTATTCCGCTTAGACCTTGTCGTACAGTAAACATTCTCTCAGTGGGTTTAGCCTGTTAATGAACCCATTTTTCCTTCCTCCTACTCGTTTTTCTTAATACTCACATCGGGTTATATCACTCTTTCATTATTATGCATAATTCATCATCTTGACTGCATGAACTTTGCATGTGAGCCCCTCCCTTTTTTTACATGCTCTCTCATGTTATCCTATTTCTCAACACCTTCCCTATGTAGTCTATGTCCTCATGTCGTTAACCTGTCGCACTGACGAGCTCGGGGGTTGGCTAGACAATGATGATTCGTCTGCGACACCGAGCGAAAGGGATCATCTGTGTTCTCGAGTATATTCCTTTCCCAATGTTTGGCTTTCTTTGCTTCTAGTTGGTCAATTAACTACGAGAATCAAGGTGATAAGTGGCGTGGACGAGTTGTCCGGCTATGTGGACGGCTACAGAGACTCGGTAGAGGTGGTAATTACGGCCAGCAGCGTCCCAGTTACGGTATAACTGCTGCCAACCACGCCATCCGATATACACCCGAATCACCCAGTGGGGGGAAGGTCGCAGGTGGGAATCGTTGATCGTGACACGACAGTCCAATGATGTGGAGTGTAGGTTTGGCGGTGTTGCGGGATTCTGTATTAATACAGAAGAAGATATAGTAGATTGAAGCTATGGGGTCATATTATACTTTATCTTATGAAGAACACATAACCATATGATGAGGGACATACCGATTTATTTCCTTCCACTAGCTGAATACTCTCCCTGGGGATGCGCCACGTCATGTCGTAAAGTAACCGTTCTTTTCTGAAAAAGTCGGCATTAAAGTCGCGGTGTGCCGGGAGAGTTTTTCGCCACTCACTGTTTCAGGTAAATAAAATACGAAAGTGGGGAAATAGTTGCCAGAAAAATCATGATGCCAACAAGAACGAAATATGACGTGTAGTCGCAATCGGAGCCAGTAAAACCGCAATAAGGGACTGCTTTCGGTAGCTGCCCATTGCTCGATGACCAGTAGAATTGTATTATTTCATGGGCTACCTAAATATGATTGATTAGAAGAGAAAATTTCGACAATTCAGCCGTAGTGGTTGCTACTTTCGAACCCATCAAAGATAGCATGTGCACAATGGATGCGCATAACTGGCTAGAAGCTCATTTCTCATGGTGGATGTCCAGCAAAAGTGCATGTCGCGCGCCGTAAGACGAAGCTGTGCTCGACAATCAAATGAAGGCGTTGAGGCCTGGTAGGTTGCCTCAGAATGGGGTGGCTCGTGACATGGAGCGTTTTTTGAATACCATCTGTTGCATGTTGCCGGAGAACATGCATGAAACACATAAATGATTTTCGTTTTCCTAAGCGGCTCTAGTAATGTCATCAAGAGGAGTGAAGGATGGCTAAAAGCGGGTACTTTCAATCATCTCGCTGAGCTCTGTGTCATTGGTGATGTTCACTATAATACTGCTTCCACGTTGTGAAAAACCGACAGTTTAGTCTGCCGTGCTTCATGATTGTCAAAGTCAAGAAGACAAGGGTGAGAGCAGAGCGAAGGTCGGTGGTGGAAAATGCGTAAGGTAGAAGAGAATATCCTTAGCCGAAGAATACTGAAGGCTGGGCTCCCGACCCACATGGGCCAATCCAGGACACCTGGATTCACGCAGTCGAGGTCATCCTACAGTGTGCAAAGGGAGCCCTGGGAGAGATGCGCGGCGGCATCAGAGGAGACAAGGCAGCCCAGTTCCGGAACGAAGAAATCCAGGGGATCGTCAGGCAGAAGAAGGAAGCATACAAACGCTAGCAAAAGACAAGAAGCCCAGATGACTTCGCTGCTTTTAAGAGCAGCCAAGCGACTCGCCGAGCAGCCGTTCTAAGGCACAAGCAATACGGAAATGGACGCCCTGGTAGAGAAGCTGGAGAGCCGAGGAGGGGACCAGTTCCTCCGCTCGCCCTGGAAAACTGGCACCCGCGCTGCCAAAGGACATCAGGGTCATAAAGACTGTGAGAGAGGCAGCAATAAGGAACCCAGCTTGAAGTCAGACAAAAGGCTGGGAAGAACTACTTGCAAGGACTACTGAACGAAAATCCCGCCGCAAGTAGTCCTACAGATAGAGGCGACAGCAGGCCGTAACAAGTCATCACCCCTCTTAGCGGAAGATGAAGTCCGCTGTGAGCTAGGAAGAATGAATTGGAAAGCTGTTTGCCAAACGGGGTAGCCGATAGAGCATGGAAGCACCTGGAGAGCATGGAGTGAGTTGCTCACAGACTTCCTAACGGTTATCTAACGTTGAAGGAAAGGATGCCAGATGCGTGAGGACAGAGGCAGCAATCGCCTCCGTCTCAAAACCAGAAAAAGGGACCGAACGAGATGTTCCAACTACCGGGGCGTCAAGTTGACTCCCGCATACCATGAAGCTGTAACGCGACGCCCCTGTCCACCACTAGCTGAGTGGAACTTGTCTTATCTCGCAGGAACATTCCGACACACTTAGAGAGAGAAATATACACACACATACAACGTTCCGGGAACACCATCATCTCTATAAGTCGAGACTGTCAACAGATCGGGGCTATGCTAAGCACTGTACCAGCACCGCGCCGACTACACACGACCAGAACTCAGGAAATCACACGAGTTGGCGGTACACCAAGGATCAGCCCTCAAATCACATTATAACATACACTCCTCGACACTACATCATCGGCCAACAGAACTACACCACTGGAAAACCATCCTCGTACGCACACACTCACCCTGAATAGCGGACAGCAGGAAAAGAACTCAGGATGCAAGTGGGCAGCGGTGGTAGGATGTGCTCGATGAAAATGGACTCCCGGCTAAAACGTGAAGAAGAACCAAGCTTTATGGCTGAAAGGTGTAACGAACCCCATCGTGGACTGGCCATGGCGACAGCATCTACAAAGGGTCGAATGGTCTTCCAAATGACTGGGGAGCACCTAGCACTGATTGCCGACGTGGACCAGGCGATGCAAGGCCCGAGCTCAACCCAGCCGATGAAATGGAGGGGAGTCCAGTCCATATGCGACCGGGCGCTGCTGCGAGAACGCTCAAGTGCATAGGTGTACGCGGTCGGTGGTTAAGGGCCTAACAATCTCTACGGCAGGGGAAGTGCTGGCCTATCTGCAAGAACCATAGAAAGGCAGGCTCACACTTAGCTGAAATGAAGGATGCTCATGATTGGGCCTGCGGCTGAACACGACTCGACAGAATCAGGAACGAGGACGTCAGTACGGTCACACAGACGGCTCCGATCCAGCTGAAGGCACGAGAGCAGCGCCTGCGATGGTATGGGCACGTACTGAGAAGGCCTGAGGACCACTCAATAAGGAAGGCATTATAGTTTGAAGCAGAGGGCAAGCGACCACGAGGAGCCTCAAAAAAGAGATGGAGGGACGTCATCAAGAAGGACCTCACTGAAGTGAAAGCCACGGCAGAAGATGCAGTGGATCGGAACAAGTGGCGACGTCTAACACAAACAGCGGACCCTGCGAAGGCGCGGGACTAACGCTAGGGAGAAGAAGAAGAAGTTACAGAAGAAAATCTAGAATAACTGAATAGAGACCTGAGTATAAAATCAGCGCTGGATTATGAAATCAGGCTTCATAGAAGGAATGTGCGCAGCTCAGATTTATCCGAGGTCGGACCAGTAGTTGCTTATAATGGCGTTCTCCAAGTGTGTGGAATGTGAAAGATTCGCTTCAGAGGTACAGAGAAGGACGAGCGAAAAAAATAGTGGCCGGGGAGGGCCTTACAGTGTCTACCCTGCAGAAAAAGCGGATGGATGAAGTCATACGCTGAATGTCTGACCACAGAGGCTGGAGTTGAGCTCCCCTGCGCGACTGACATTCCTGCTGCAATCGTTGCTCGAGTTATTTCCGAGAAATTGAGGGTAGTCAAGAGGGTACCTCATTTTCTAGTATGAGCACGAACGCAGAAGAGGTACGTAGCAGCGATGTCCTCCGCCTAAGACGTCATTTGCGACTATAAATGCGCACGTAGCCCTAGACGAATTGTGGGTGGTCTTGTACTCCGAGCCAAAACTCAGAAGCGTCAAATTTGTATGAGCAGATGAGAAGCCGCCCGAGTCCTGTCATCAAGAGTTACGTGGGCTTAAGCGGATAATCATCATGGTAATAAATTCCTTCACTACGGTTTTCGAGCGGCTCTATACACAGAACGAAACGTCGCTGTCGGTGTATATTGCTTGAAACTCTCAAATAACATCGACAAATGAATGGTTCCCGCACGACCACCAGAAAGCCTCCATTAATCACAGTGCGAGGCCCCGAGTAACCTTGTTATTAGGCAGAGCTCCGACAAAAACAATGCTGAGAGAAGAGACAAGAGTACTAAAAGTTCAGTCTCCTTATTTGCCCGACCTACAGATGTGCAGTTCCACCCGTTCTGGTCAGTCAAAAGTACGGTCCATTTGGTAAACGCTATGTCGTTCTGTCATTCGCCAGGAGTGACATCAAGAGCTCTGCTCGTATTCTCTGAAAAAAAACGAAGGTGGAAGTGGTCCAAACGCTCCCGGAGCACTGAGAACGGGCACTGACAAATCGAACCTTTTGCACAGCTTTTTGATTCCACTCTTCTAGAACTACGGGGGTTGCGATGAAGAACGAATGGTGACTTTCTTGTCGACTAGCGTTGATTATGGAAAGTTTTGCTTTCATAAGGGTAAATAAGGACCGAAGTAGGCGTCGCTAGAGGCTCCTTGGTTTGGTGGACAAGCTGAATATAGTCACATTTCCTGATCGGGACACAATGTATTGGTGTAGCCTCATCGCCATAGGCGAGCGTGCATTAACGTGTACTATGAAGATATCAGGCCGTTATGGAAAAAAATTAATGCGCGACGTAGGTCATTTTTTCATGGCTGTTGGAGCAGATTGTAATTGTCAAAGCTGCCCTAGTACACAGCAGCATTCCCTTACAAAATCGTCAACGAAGCCGTTCCTCATCTATATCAGTTTTTGTTTCTGCTAGCGGGTTTTCCCTTTTGAGAAATCCTGTGGAGCTCATGTGTCTGGTTTACGTGAGAAAACCGGCTTTCTTTACCAAATACCATTTTGTCCAGTAATCCTTTCAAGATGAATAAAGGAAAAAATTAACCACTCGACCATTTTGTCAAACTGGTACAACTCACGGGATCTATCGCAAAAAAATTTCTCAATATCGAGATTAATAAGAAGCACAAGGGTTGTCATATGGGTGCAACAAAAAGATTGCCAGAATACTGGTGGTGTTTTTGGCTGCGCTTCCAGGGTGACGAGTAAATAGCAATCATTTCTTGAATGTGACCCACGTTCAAGTAGGTTGCCTATCTGCGGATAAAATATCTTCAGTTCCCTGGACCTGATACCAACGGAAAACTTTGGCATGGTGAGCAACATTTTTTCTGAAGAGGCCGCAGGTTTGAGCTGCCTTGATTATGACGGAGATACTCTACAAGAACTCATCGTGTAGACCAGGTGGTACCTCGACTTTCAGAAGACTTCGAAGCTTTGAAAGCCGCCCCAAACCTGTACCACAATCGTGTTCAGAAACCTCGAAAGTCAGTTACTACTATATGAGGATTAAATAATTTGAAATATGCTGCGTTTTTCTTAGAACAGTTTGGTCAAGAAGTTGCTCGACTTCCTTTCTAGCCTAATAATACACGTCTTTTCTCGTATCTGCGCACATTTCAGTAGTGACCGATGGCCTCATATCTACTACTTTCAACACTATTATCGTTCATGGAGTGGGAGTGAGGAGCGCCATTAAGGTACCATATAAAAAGAAAGCCAGGTATGAGCTAGAAAAAAAAACCCAGTGAAGAAAGTATTACCCCATTAACACCGCATCAGCCTGGCCAAGGCGGGATGTATCACGGAATGAGGCGCGCCGACCTAAGCCGACCAGCCACCCGGTATCATATGTCTGTGTGGCGCCTTGAGGTCACGTGTATCGCTGCCTATACAATGAAATTAGGTGAAAAAAAGAACTACTCTTGTTTTGAGGACGCTCGCTGTGTTT